CTGTATTGTTCTAGTTTATAAAGAAAAGAGGACCGCCGATAAAATCGGCGGGGGGGGTGTGGAGGGCCTCTCTAACTCGTTTGTACTAATTACTAATAACTATATATTTAGTAAGAACGGGCTAAGTTAACATTAAAAAAACAACTTCCTATTTCCATTTTTATACAGACACGTATTATAAGACAAAATTCGTGAAATTAATTTGTTTGAATATTTGATTTCAAGTTTCTTAAAAGTCAGCAATTTTCATTTCTCTATTAGAAGATATACAAAATTCAAAATTTTATTTTTGATAACTTATTGATAAATTTTGTATTAGTATTTTTCTGATTTCTCATATACATATATACGTTTCTTTTCAAGAATAGATGATCTGAGAATCATTCTGTTCTGCAGCTATTGAAAAGCCTTGTCGACCGATAAAATATCGGCCTAGTGGTTGTGTTCAACAGAGAATGCCGCTTATTTGCAATTATTATAAAATTCGTGTTTTGTGTGCACCAGTTCGTATATTTTTTCCTTTTTTCTCTAGAAGAAGAGAAAAGGTAAAATGATGAACTGGTGCAAAAGTTCAACCAAAAAGAACTGATTCTGACTTGATCTCAGACACATCGATTGGTTGTCTGCTTTGTTTGGCTAACGGCTTGATAATCATGGACATAGGGAAGATTCAAACCAAAAAATCATGGACATAGGGAAGAATCGAACCAAAAAATTTTCGACATTGCCGACACGATCGTGGACATTGGCTACATAGTTCAATGTCCACGTTTTGTGGACATAAAGACGCTTCAAAATAAAGTAACAGTTAAATCCCGGGCATGGCCGCTCTCAGGTTTCTCTCTGGTGAAAGTATGTTTATTAAATGGACACAGGCGGCAGCACTAGCACTATTCAGTTGTGATGGCCAGTGATGGAATTTGTAAATAAACTTTGAGAAGGTTTCTAAAGATGGCGATAATAATTTATGAATAATTGGTTCGCAGATATGGGAGAAAATAATATATGATGTGAAAATAAATAATAATTAAATGAATAGAATTGAGATAAAAATTTATTGAAAATTTTATTACTAATACATAAAACATTTATAAAATTAAGATATATGCAAATGTAAAAATTAATAATCACATATGCATTAAAACACGCAGTACGAAAATTTATAAGTAGATGAGCATCTGAAACCTGTAAATTACATACAAATAATAGAAAGTGCGCTTAAAATTGTATGCATTATATAAAAAATTTTAAATAATGTTTGAAAAATATATTAATTATAAGTATAAAAAATTGACGTCATATATAAATTATATATTATATTTAAAAATATGATATTAATATAATTAAGTATAATAAATAACTATATTATATTTATTACACAATTGCACATTTTTTCTTCAAATATGGCTATTTCTGCTTTCATTAATGATACCTGTATAAATAATTTATATTATATTATTGTTCAACATTATATAAGAAATACTATATAATTTTTAACATTTATGAATATCTATTATAGCAATACCAAGATGATATATTAATATATATCGGTTTTTATAATCGTGCTTAATTTACTTGCGGATTTATAATATCTCTTTATCTAAAAAAACGTGTGGTTTATCTTGGTTTATCTCTTCAGTCAGCTGTAATCTATATACGTCAGTAGGTCCGTTCATTACAGCTGAACTTCTTGTACAGCTGTATTATTTTTTCTCTTTTTCTCTCCAATGTGAAGAGAAAAAGGGGAAAGTTAGGGAAGATCATTTAACCGAAAAGAACAGGAGCACGATTGCGTATTTTGAAACAAGATGAAAATTACAAAAGTGATTTACTGGATGACTAATAAAACTGTAAATATTTAAATTAATTCCTTCACTTTTATAATTTTCACCTCATTTCAAGGTACATACATACACATATATACAATTGATCCTCAGGCTGTACTCTTTATATATCTGCTACTCTCAAGCTGCGCATGTCCAGGATCCATCCCACCATCCCATACTTTCGCATGTATACTGTACTCCGCTCTCCGCTTCGCGCGGATGACAGGCTGATCGGGACTGACAGCAGATTCGGGCTCCGGCCGTAACGCGGCCGTAACGACCTGTTAAAGGCTGTTACCGCGCGGACGCGCTGGAGGGAGCGGAAAAGCATTATTTCTTATGCCTGGCGCGGCAGTGAGTCATCGTAAAAGTGCAGGATTGCTTTAGAGCAGGACGATCTGGGACGACAATCATGGAAGTCCTGGACCCAAGCGTCTCCAGAGACGATCAGCCGTTATGCATCAACGATTCTCTGGAGCGAGGTAATCCACAGCTTCTCGTCGAATATCTTTTGCGACGTTATTCTACGTTGTCCTCGTTCACATAATTATACGTTGTTCGCTACGCGCGAGAGACAGTCATCAGCGTCGCGAGTTGCATTGTTTGGTAACAAAGGGAGGATAACGTAAGCAAGGCGAATGCGACGATGACGCGGGACAGATGTTCGTAAATATCGCGGAAATGGAAACGATTTGTTATCTATAGCGTTGATCTTGCGACCTCTTTCATCTAAACACCTCCTCCGCTCGAGAGAGACGTCAATGCGCGTGTACGTCAGATTTATTATGTGCCAGAGTTGTTACGTCCGTACTTTTTCTTATCACAGAAACAGGAGAAAAATGAAGAATTGATTGTTTTAAACATATTGGATTAATTTTATTAGATCAATTTTAGAAATATTACTTATTGTTAGTGTGATTGCAGTTACAATAATGCATCCGCAGCTGTTAAGAAATTTTAGACAAATTTGTTTAGATGACTCATAATTAATATCTTAAATATAAAGATTTAATTTCTTTAACGTACATCGAGAAAAAATGTATTAAATTTTAATAAACATTTGTTTGAAAATACTACTAGCTGAATATTTAATAAATATATATTTATTTGATACAGACACATGAACCATTATATAATTTGATTTAATTATCATTCTTTTATTTAATAAGTATTTATGTATTGTAAATAAATGTTAAATCAGTATATCCAATAAAAAACAAATATTTATTAAAATTTAGTACATTTTTTTAGTGTAAATTAATGTTTTTAGAATAGCTCGAAAAGCCAAATTACATAATTGAAGGGCTTGCCATTCTCTTTTAAAATTATTCATAAGTAAGTAATATATTTCAATTTTTCTGTTGACAATATATATTCACAATGTAATGTTTTTTTCAGTTAACACATTGCAGATTCCAGCAGACACTAAATCATGCATAAAAGCTCGTCACACTCTCGGCTTTCTGGGCTTTTTAGGCTTTGCCCTTGTATATGCTATGAGGGTGAATTTATCGGTAGCCATCGTCTCTATGGTTAATCAAACTGCAATACCGCATACTGAAGATAATGATACTAGTGACGTTTGTCCTAAGACTAAACCGATAAACGGGACTTTCATACCGGTAAATCTATATCATTGTTTTCTTAGTGATTATCTGAATCTTTATTTACCATATCATTACTCTATATATTTATCACATATTATACTTCTTATATCACATTACTAAGTCTTTTGTATTATTCTCGTTATTACATTATTTAGATATTAGTTATCATGTGACATTAGTCATTTAAACTTATCATGCTGGAATATATAAATGTAACACGTACATACATTATACCGTTCCTTTGTATTAATGCATGATATGATATGAGCCTGTATCTAATTAATATCTCAACAATTGTCACAGGAAATCTAACGTACGGGATAACGTACAAATTAAATAATTAGATATTTATTATGAACATTGTGATAATTTCTCCATTGCTCTTCTCAATTTATTTCATTAAAATATTAATGTCATTATCAAATATTATTTAATAAAAGAATTTCTTCATATTAGTATATAAACAAAAGAAAAATATCCTTAAATATTGTTTTAATTTATAATATATTAAAATGTGGCACATAACTCTTTAATTAGATCTTTGTTGGGGTAAATTCGTATATTATAGTATTTTTTTTATTAGTGTACATACTGAAATTAATTTAATGTTATTTTAGAGCGCGGGAGAATTTGCTTGGAATGAAAAGACTCAAGGTATTATATTAGGTGCATTCTTTCTTGGCTATGTAACTACAAATGTCCCAGGTGGTAGGATGGCCGAGAAAATGGGTGGCAAATTAATTTATGGTCTCGGAGTGTTTCTGACTGCTGTTCTGACTGTGATAAGTCCCTTCGCTGCATATTGGGGTTTGGTTCCATTTTTGGTTGTACGAGTCGCAGAAGGATTTACCGAGGTAAATATCCTCTTTTCACAATATGTCTGAAAAAGGTCAAGGAAACTATAAATACTTTTTCATATATGTATATATATATATATTTATGATATATAGGGGGTAACTTTTCCTGCGATGCACAGTATGCTGGCACACTGGGTACCTCCATTAGAAAGAAGTAAATTTGCTGCTATAGTATACGCAGGTAATTTGTTTGTCCTATACCTTTTAACGTATAAAAATATATTCAAGGATTACTTACGATATATATTTTTCTCAGGTTCAAATTTCGGGACTGTCATCTCATTACCAGTGAGTGGTTGGCTATGTTCCTTAGAATTATGGGGCGGTTGGCCCCTTGCATTTTATCTTTTCGGTGGTCTTGGTCTTGTGTGGTATGTGTTCTGGTTGATATTCGTATACGACACTCCTTCGCAACACACGAACATTGATCCTTCTGAAAAGGCATATATTGAAGCTAGCGTCGAGAAAAAACACGAGGTCAGTATGATGTTTAATATATAAATATTTTTGTGAAGTTATCGTGTTCGACTTAATGACCAACAATTTTAAATAATAGAACGACCCGGGAGTACCTTGGCTGTCCGTTTTCACCTCTCTACCTATATGGGCTATTGCTATTACTCAATGCGGCCAGTCCTGGGCCTTTTACACTCTTCTGACTGAACTGCCAACGTATATGGATAAAATTTTGCATCTGAACGTACAGCAGAATGCATTTCTCTCGGCGTTACCTTATTTGAGCGCTTGGCTAGTGGGTCTTGGTATCTCGAGTTTCGCGGATGCACTCTTGGCTCGTCGTCTGATCTCACCTTTGGCCTCGTTCAAACTATGGAACACAGTATCCTCGTTGGGACCCAGTCTCAGTTTCATCGGTGCTATCTGGGCCGGATGCGATCGTATGACGGTGATGTTGATGCTTGCTGGATTGGGCTCTCTTCAGGGTGCGGTATATGCTGGAAATCAGATGAATCACATCGCATTAGCACCACGTTATGCGGGCACCTTGTACGGATTAACGAATGCCGCGGCAAACGCGTGTGGTTTCTTGGCACCATATGTTATCGGCAGTATAGTAGAAGGACACGTTAGTATATTTGTCATATTTTTTATTTCAAATGTTTCGTTAGAATGTACGTACATTACTTTTTCTTTTGTATTATAGGAAACTCTCGCACGTTGGCATACAGTTTTCTGGATGGCAGCGGGAATAAATATGGCTACTAATTGCTTCTATTTGATGTTTGCATCCGCTACTGAACAGCCATGGAGTAAAGGCGGCAGTTGATGACAATGTCGCATTAGAAGTGCGATATTAAGCGTGGAAAATAATATACTTTTTAATAATGTTGCACATAGCACATTTTAATTTGATTAGTCAATTTTATATAATTTGATATAGATTTATTACTAATCGTTATTTCGTAAAACAATTTCTTTTTATTGTTTTTCTAAAGCTATAGTTATATCGTATTTATCGTTGAACGATACACGTGCAATGACAAATGAATCAAATTTCGATATTATCAACTTTATTGCTGACACGCGATACACAAAGGAGATAGACGTCATCGACTGGCTTTCACGTCAGATAATTGGGATTGATTACCATATTTTTCACCTCCCTATTTTACTCCATTTTGATCCAGCTATATCTTGTCTGGATACATAAAAAGTTCTGTAATTCCATGAAGAAATTAAGTAAGTAAAAACGCTAATTTTGACATTATATATAAGGTGTTCTCAGTACAAAAATGATAGAAAAAATGATTGTATGTAATAAATCAAGAATGGAGAGTAAAATATTTTCAAGATTTATTTCCGTTTTCGAAGAAATGACTTTGAAAATAGGAAGATTAATATAATGTCCTTGTATTTTTTTAAATGTTGATGATTTGTAGTATTAACGCATATAATACTGAATTTATTTCAATAGCAATTAATTATATATAAATAAAACAGTACCATTTTTAAGAAAATAAAATAATCTAAATTATTTTAGATTCTATATATATTTAAAAAATTAAGATTATTTTTATTTTTTCGATAAAATATTGTATTTTTTATGTATGGTCCAATAGTTGTTTTCTATACAATTCGTTAAGTTTTATTATAATAATTTTATAACGATATTATTAAAAAAAAAATAGAGAGAGAAAGAGAGAAATATTGATATTCAATTTTCAAATTTTAATGACAATTTTTTCAAAAATAAAGTATTCTACAAAAATATTCTATTCTAATTAAAATTAACAATAAACCTCCCAGGTCAAGAATAAATTGAGCAATAATGGTTGTTAAATATATCTATAAATTTATTATAATGATAACATTCTATTCTATTTCGTCGATTTATTTTTATATGTAGAATCTCTTTTTGTACTGGTAACATCCTGTTTATTGTAATTATGATACAGCATTTAATTACATATATATGTATGTGTATATATATATATATATACACATATATATGTAATACATACGCAACGGTATATACAATAGACCAAAAATTTTAACGTTTGAAACGTGTATGATGTGTATATATATATATATATAATTCTTTTATTATTATATTTAATAAGAATGATGTATATGGATGATAAAGTAGGAAAAAGAGAATAAAAATTATTAGCAATGTTACTAAAAACACTATATTTTCTACTTAATTTAAAAAGATATTTGTTATTATCTTTAAATATTTTAATGATTTTTAAACACACACACACACACACACACACATATATGTATATATGGCTTTAAAAATGGAGGTATTATTTATTTATAATACCAAAGGGATAATAAGATAAATGGCTTCTCTATATATGATGTAAGTAAAAACTTGTAACAGTATTAATATTTCATTGACATAGTATACATTTCCGATAGTAAAATCCATGAAAATAATATATGAAGGCAAAAAAATGATTTTGTTGTTTATAATAGCAGGATAATATATATATATA